TAAAAGAATCGAACAGATTGAAAAGATCAAAACCAGCGAATATCAAATGCAATTAAGTTCTTACCTGTACTCGTAAGTATCATCCAAATATTTCTCAGAGTATTGGATCTGACCCATTTCTTGATTTTGTTCAAAAAAAAAAACTCACTTTAAGTTTCTTTCTGTATTTAAGCACCGAAGTTTGATTCAAGATTCGATCTGAAAAACCGAAGCAACTGAAGCAAAAGGAAAATCAGCAAAGATCAACGGATTATACAATCTTTATTTAAAAAAGAATTGAAGATGATTCCCAAGAAAGAGAAAGCAGTGGAGCGTACCTTCAAGAGCGCGAGAGAGAGTGAGATGAGAAGACGGAGAGACGGAGAGACGGAGAGAATGAGTGGAATTATAGAAGAGGGCAAATGCCGCAATAAGGGTGAGAGGGGCAAAAGATAACTCCATTTCCTAAAATGGGTTATTTTTAAATACTAAAGAAATTGGCTAAAGAAATTTGAATTTCAAAATTTAAATTTCTCCCGCTTAATGGATCGAATCATTCGTCAAAAGGAGTAAACAATAAATCATGCCTCTCTCCCTTTTGCCTGTGTTTTTTCGGCTTTCAAAATTGCTTTCTCAACGGTTCCTTCCTCCACAACTGGATCGGGCGATGTAAATCATGCAACGTTGAATCTATTAAACTCAAACAATTGCAGTTGTGGTTTAAATCGAAAAATTAATGAGGAGATAAATTTGGTATAAACAAATTCCAATGAAATAACAATTAAAGACTCCAAATTCCGATGAAATTTCATCAAATAATGTGCAACGAACAAAACTGCACATCTAGTCCCAAAAGCCTATCTCAAAATTTTTCCAACTTGCTCGAAAATTAGCTTTCCCCTAAAATTTTTGGTATATTTTGCATTTTATGTGCTACAAACCGAAAAAGAAAAAGATGAGGTAGCACTTTATGGACTTCTATTTCCTGTACAAGAGAAAGAGAAAAGCAACCCTGTACATTTATGAGGAAAAGTCTCTTCAAAAACTAGCTTCTCCATGCTCAAAATTTCACATGCCGACCCCCCAACGTCAGTCATTCATCCTCTGCTTTACGAATCAATCGAATTTCCGGGACTGGCTTCTGCAGTATTGATGTACCCTGGAAGATCATCATTTGGTAGTCTCTTTTATATTTGTTCAGCTGCAGTATAGAAGAAATGTTACGTTCATTCATATCTCGATGATTGTTTAAACTCAAGCAAAAGCAGGCCGGAAATAGTCATACCTCCTCCTGGGCTATCTTGCTGAATCCGAATTTCTTTGTCCAAATAGATTCTGCTTCATCGGCTGCTGGAAGCACAAGGTTTTTCACTTTTAGGAAGCCAAGCAGCTTCTCAATGCAAGAAAACAGGCATTGGAAATAACCCTGCAAAATCCATGTGCTTTTAGTTCACATGCATCTCACCTTATCAAATTACCAAAAAAAAATAAAAGAGCTTGGGTGGGGGAAAGGGTTATTGCCGTCAAACCATAATGGTTACCTGTCCTTGGCATTCAGTACTTGTTGCAACTAAGGGAATTTCAGCCACTTCCTGCCCAAAAATCCTAAAAATACCAGCTGACACAACCACTTGACTGCACAAGGAAAATTAAATCATGGTGTTCAGATACACCTATTCTAGAAGACAACACTGGGAAGAAACTTAACAAAACCAAAAATAAGTCTCACTTGACAGTTAATATGGCACAGTACATGCCAGCAAAATCTTGGCCCTTCACCGTTCTCCTGTAAAACCAATGAATGCTATCATTCACAAAGCAAACTTCAAGAAAGCACCACATAATGGCAAGCATCAAGAAGAGAAGCAATAAAATACAAAGAAAAGACGATTATTGCTTACCCATAAACCATTGATGGAATTAGATCACCTTTGGTAGATCCAGAGTCACTTATAGGATCAAAGCAGTCCTAAAGCACAAAAGGAACATCATAAATCAATTAATACTTAACTGGATAGCTTCCTATTTACATCAAAGACAGAATCAACACAGACTGAGAAGAGGGCTCATGTGTTAGATGCACTATAGTAGCTACAAGACTTAAAAGCTTATACGAAAGCCACACAGTTCTAAACAAGATGTCCAGGCCCTAGAGGGCCAGAGGCCCAAAAACACTGTTTACTTTCTAGCTAACCTTGCTGTTGGATCAAATGGATAATCAGCAATAATTTTCTTTACGTACAAACAGAGAATTACTTACATGGAAGATCGCAACAGCCTTGGAAAGCAATACTCTAGTGTCATTAAAAGATGTCATTTTCCCACTGAGAACCCTCCATCTTATATCAAGATTAGTGTTGCTCTCCAAACTCTTTTCTTTATGCTTCTTCTTTACAACGAGCAGAGATGATTCAGGAAGCTTTTCTTCCCCACGAACTATCAATTTCTGTAAAGCAGAATGAATTTTATTGCAATCTGTGCAACAAAACCACTTTCCTTTTGGCAACTCCTGTTGAAAACATGGTATCAATACTAATTTATTCATAGAACAAATTGGGAAAAGCTATGCATTATTTAACAGAAAAAAATTGGCACCTTAAGGTCATCCATATTGTGATCCCTAAGACAGCCCACATGATACTCCCTCTCACACTGATAAGGAAAAAATGGAGAACAAAGATCATTACATGTCAAACACAAAGTTTGCATATCAAGTACATAGAAGCTCAAATTTACAACTGCAAGCGCAAACAGAACCAAGAGGATACCTGATCACAAAGTATAACAGTGCGAGGACCAAATCCTGACTTGCTAAAAGAATGGCCTCTGCAAATATCAATAACATGTCAATATAGAAGAAAGAAAAGAGTTCAAATGATTACAGGAAGAGCAACATAAATTAAGACACCAACATAATGGGACCAAAAAATTAAGCCTCCACATGAGTGCTGCACCAGACCACGTTCCGATAAAAAATTAGTCAATTTGTAAATAAATACAAGTTTTGGGATCAGATTGGTAAGTGGTTTCTCAGCAATGCAGACTGTAAATTAATCAAGATTTTAACATTCTAAAAGATTTCAAGTTTAGATTGTAATGTTAGATTTAACAACTGTATGCAATTTTTATCTAAGTAATTGCAAATATTTTATTAGAGATAATCTTTAAAGGGCATGGGGGAGGGGTGCTTTAAGGAATAAATGATTCACAACAACAAAGAAATAATCCAAATGGTGAATGCATCTGACCTGCAAAGCACACACACACTGAGAACTTCAGTCTCTGGAGTTTTGATAATACGAATGCATCTCTTGGTTATCTGTTCTATTGGATCAATTCCAGCAACTCTTCCTGCAGCTAGAGCATTGGCATTACGTTCCACAAACTTTTCCTTTTGGAAGTTATTCTGGCAATATCTACAGTGCCAAGTACCAGTTGGAATGTTTGGCAGAGAAACACAATCTGCAATCAGCCAGTAATAGGTCATAAGTCCAACAGGAGTCTACACTAATAACAAAAAAGTATTGACTGAAGTGACTCAGATTTTACACATTCTGTTTGAACACAAGGGACTCAGATATTCTCATTAATTTTAAATTCAAAATATGTATTGACCAGAGTTGTAAAAGGTCAAACCACAGTCTACACAACCCAAGGCATAAGGTTCACTCTAGGCAACCCCAAGAGAAACACAAAAATACACCATAACTGTGTAAGTTCATAAGTCTTAAGAATGGGAACAAAATAGTAATAAACTCTCACATCTCACTACGAAGTTGAGTTACAAGTGAAGGTGATAGATGAGTGGGAAAAGGAGGAGGACAAAACGCAGCCCTCACATGCAGGTTTGCACATGTTTTCAAAAGCAAGTTGCTTACACAAATTATAAGTCCCTACAACACTTGATATCCATAAATATTTAATTTCACTTTTGAAACATCATTAACCACAAGGGCGCTTGAGTAATTGTAACACATCATCAGAACACAATTTTGCCTCCACTGGGGCCATTTTGTTAAGAAATGCATTACAGCCAACTAAGAGCAAAAGTCATAGCCCTCAACTCCAAGGCAAAAAAATTAGACAATAGTTATTATTGACAAAAAAGAAGACAAAGATTAGAACATGAACACAAGAAAGAAGACAAAGATCAGACAAAAAAGAACAATTGCAGGCACCGAGATAAATTGTTCATGAAGTTTGGAAGTTGATAAGGGTAATAATCAGATAAGTTCAGAATTTAGAATACGGTTTGACAATTCCCCAAAAATCCAAGACATCATGAAGTTTCGAAGTTGATAACCTCAAGGTATCATTTATTGCATGTACGAGTTACATTCTTTACTGCTGTTGTTACGCATCCAGCACATCAATGGTTAATACAATCGACTGTAGCCTGAAAAGTTGCCAATAACACAGAATATTCAAGGAAAAGTTAAAACTGACCTTTATGAAAAGCCCTTGGACATGTATCACAACACAATAGATTCCCTCCATCCAAACAGATGCTGCATAGGTCATCATTCTCATTTGCAGAGAACTTCCGACTTTTCAACAGGGATATTGACAATTCATGGAGAGATACTCCATTTGAAGTGTAAATGTGTTGAAAACTGTAAACAGAGTAAGGATATGTCAAAAACACATTTATATATATAGATATTTGCACTAAATGCACAAAGCCATTTTTATTAATTGCCAATGTTCCATGCCTAAAATTTGGAGCCCTAGCTTCTTCAAAAATTGCCATTGTTTCACCACATCAGAACCTACATGAGCCGTGGCTCACTATTGCAAGATATCAATCACAAGATCGAAATTGAGTAAACAACAAAGCTTGACAACCTAAGATTGAACAGAGACTTACGGCTTGCGACGAGTTGCCCAACCAGCATGAGCTTCAAACTGTGAGGGGCTGATCTGCTCATTTAACACAGAGAAAATCAAATATCAGAGAGGACTTAGGAGATAACAATTTCATTGGTGGGAAAAACAAAAAAGGCACCTCTGAATTGCAGCAGGTGCAAAGTATTCCAAATCCCCTTTTATAACCAACAAGCATTTTCTGCAACACATCAAATCACCACTTAGAAAAGACATATCTAGTAAGACTAGACAAAATATATGCTAAACTATATTCACACTAACCTGTCCACGAACAAAATACCCTAGTTCAGTTCCATCTGGCAACCCATTTTCCTCAAATACCAATTTATGCATCCGCAGATCCCTTTGAAAGCAGTACCAAAGAGATTAACACAATATATAATTTCAATAAAAACAATTATGCCAAAAGTATCTACATCAACTATATACAACAGAAAATATCAAACAGGTAATCAGAATATATAAACGCAAAAATAATACTTACTTTCTGGTTACTCTTCCCTGACTCTTAGTTTGTGACGAGCTGCATTTTGAAGCACTGATAGGTGACTTTGCAACCACAGTTGGTTTTGGTGATCTGAAACAAATGAAACAAAAAGAAAATAAAATTTTAAAATAAAGGATAAATGAGTTAAACTTTAAAAGAATTATCCTATCTCTGATCCTGCAGAATAGAGAAAAGTATTATCATCTGAGTAAAAGCAATTTTGTGACTTTCTGTGTGCATTTGCAACCATAAATTGCTAGCTTACAAATTATATAAGCAGCAAACATAGACTCTAATTAACATTTACACAAATTTACTGCTCTTTACTATTAGAAAACCACCTCAAGACTCATAAGTTTGACAAAAATTAAAACCAAACTTTTCCATCTGCTGACAGAAAAATGTGAATGCAACCAAGGGTTAGAACAAAATGGTAATATGCCACAAAGCCAGCACTAGACAAGGGAGTTTCCAACATAAGAGAACATTTCTTTTTCCCCATCTTCCAAACTCAGAAGAGAAAATATATTCCTATTCTTATTACTGATGTAACAGAACTAACAAGGCCAGGATCATATAATTCTAGGGTTTACTGCAAGTTCATAATTCTGCAGCCATGGTAACACAAACAAATGAAACAAATAAAAAATTACAAAGGTGAACCAAGAGACACAGGCTAGGAACACCAATCAAACCATACCTATCATCAGCATCAGCCACTCCAGTAGAGCTGTCTTGAGACTCTTTTACATCTACGCATGAATTACATAGAATTACAGCTTTCCTAGAGCCAGTTCCAGTAATAGACTCTACAATAATATAAGGCAACAAACATTAAACTGTCTGGACAAACACCAATGATGAAAAAAAAATATGTAATATAAAAGAAATTTAAAATCAACCTCTGCAGTTCAAACAAAAGCTAGATTTCTTCATGGAAGAACCAATCACCATCCGTAGAGCATTCCCCAATGTGATCAATGAATTCTGTTTGCATGCATTCATTACATCACGCAGGGAATTCCCATTCTCCAGGTAAATATACTCTGCCGGACGTTTGTTTGAGCTACCCGCATGAATCTCATATAAGGTAGGGGCAATAGCCTTCATTCAATGATAAAAGATCCACAAAAGCAACATTAGGATATTTGCAAATCAGCAAAACAGGCATCATGACAATACACATTAATAAATAAGCCCTTACTTTAACCCCCTTGCAAGCACTACAAAAACACAATATCCCAGAGCCCTTAATTACTCCTCGAAGCCCACTACTCCCTGAAACTCTTGTAACCTACAATAACAGAAACATTCGTAACCAAATTTCAAAACAAAAGCGCAAGACATTCAAACATTTCACTATAAAATTTTTCCAGAACCATACCTTTGAGCTTCGCGCGTACCTCACATTTACTCCCTCAAGCATACCTGAATCAAAAAGATCCTTTAACTTAGTCGGGAAATTTCTCACAAACTTGGTAGACACATTCATTTCCTGCTTCATTGGACCATCCACACTTTTAGGCCTATTATCATCACCACTACTTTTCACATCACTCACTGTCACAATAACAGCATCCCTCACAGCAGTTTTCTTCACCGTCTCCACCTTTGGTTTCAACAAGGATCGAGTAAACCTCCGTCGAGGCTTCTCTTCCTTCACCACCTCTCTAATTACTATCACCCTCGCAACCAACCAAAACTCGCATTCCATATCCACTTCACAGGGCTCATTTTGTATAACCAAATCATCCTTTCTCTTTCCTTCTTCTACATTCTTCATTGCATTTTCCACTTCACTTTCCTTCTCTCTAATGTCGACATCCATTTTCGATTCCTTTTCTTCTTCCTCTTTTACTTCTTCGTTTGCTTCCTTCTTCTCTTCCTCCTCTTTTTCTTCTTCCTTTTCTTCCTCTTTCTGTTTTCTTCTTGTGAACCTATTACCGCCTTTTCAGTTTCACTTTTTTCCTTCCCCTCCTTGTCATCCTCATCTTCACACATTGGTTCAACAACCCCATCTTTAACTTCCTCTCCCTTTTTCCCCACCCTTTTGGACTCCTCTTCTTCACAACCGTCCACCTCTCTCTTCGGCTCGTCCACATCCACCACATCGCTTTTCGCCTCTTCTTCACTCATCAAATCCACCGATTCCTCCACAACACTCACAGATTTCTCCAAATCACTCTTCTCTTTCTCAACCTTGACTTCTCTCTTCGATTTCTTGTTGCTCCGGTTACCCGGGCTCCACACCGGTCCATTCTGTGCCTTCCTGGACCGAGTCCGACCCAAAGACCCACAGATCTCTGCTTGAACCTTCAAAGCAAATTCGAATTCACGCTTCAGACCCGTCCTTACCCGAGATAAAACCACGAAATCCTCCGCGTCCGTACCGTTCGCCATTTAATTTATAAAAAACGCAAAGGCAAAAACCCCAGATCAAATCAAAAACCCTAGAGGGACGCTGTTTCCAACAACAAATCAAGAAAGGTTTCGTAAGACATGCATGCAGATGGATAAACGGATGGAAATTTTGAGAAGTTTTTTATGGTTTGCAAAGAGAAGATAAAAAAAAATTAAATGCGGAATTAGGGGTTTTTTGTTTTGTGGATTGGTGAAAGGAAGATGGTAGGTTTTCTTCTTTGAAAGAGCCAAAAAGAAACAGGGGAGGAGAGAGAAAGATAGAAGAGAGATACGACAGCCTTTGTATTTATCTAATGACGAAACTAGCCCTTACGAACCGACATGGTTTTCGGGTTTTTCTAATGGGTTACGTATTTTTATAATTTCCATTCCGTCCCCCATACTTGTAGGGTTTTGCGTTAGTAAACCCTCTTATTAGACCTATTTGGAAACTTTGCAAATTCCAAATTCTACTTCAATCCTCCTTACTTAGTACATTCCCTTCAGCAAATTGTGTCTTCAATGGACTATCTTTAAAATTTTTAATATTAATTCATTTAATTAAATATTCAAAATAAAGTGTAAAATCATATATCAACTTGATCTAAGGTCAAGACAACATTCATGTATTTTTATTCAAGCTCAAGTGAAGGAAAAAATATCTATTCTTGTCCCTATTACTAAGTGATATATCAAATCCATAGTTAGTTGTTCAATTAATATCATATCTCAAGTTATAGTAACATGACATCAAGAGAGAAAAGAGTCAATATGATTTTCACATAAAACAACATCACTCGAGTTAAAACGCACCTTAATAATAATGAAAATCCTACTTTTTTAAAAAATAAATTAAAAAAACCCTATTAGATGATGATTTCAAATTAAATCTTTTGAACATATTTATAAATTACAATATTAATCTGGCTCTTACGCACTTCATATAAAGGTCAACACTCGAAGAATCAAAGAGAATCACTTCTTATTTTATATCTTAATTTTTAACCTAGAAAAATGTTAAATAAAGTTTATAATGAAAAATTTTGGGGCGGCAATAACAATAAAGAAAACATACAAGGATTTCTTAGCAAATCTCTAAGGACCAGCTAGGGCTGAATCCAAAAAATTAAATGACAATAACTCCACCATTGTAGGGGCATTCTCGTCCAATGAAGAAATTAGGTGGGTAACCCTATCATAATTCTCTGCTCCCTCGTTTTATTTTCTCCTAAATATTGTTAGAACTCGTGAATTTTCGCGGCGGAGCCAATTAACGATTTTCAGATTTTGACCAATCAGATTTCGCCAAACAATTTTACGAGCGCTTTAAGATTCTGCTGAGCTAAATTTAGCAAATAACGTAAGACACTTCGACCCACATGCCTTCACAGAGCGTGAACTCCACATCATCCTTTGTGGCTCCCGGCTCCTTCTTCGACAGCTTGGTCTCTTACTGCCCTCGGCTGGAATTACGTGTTCCTCTTGCTTTATTTGCGTGGAAGGAAAGCGTCCCTACCGCTCTTTTAGGTGGCGCGTGAGGGAAAATAGTGGATTAAGCCAAAGCTTACATTGGGAGAAACAAATTTCGGAGTGAAAATGAGAAGTTTTTACAATGGTGGCGGGAGAAAAGAATGGATTGCCACGTGGCAATTATTTTGTAGCCGTTAGTGGGATTTAAAACTTTGGAATTTTGGCCAACTATAGTGAAGCACATTTTTAAATTTGGTTTAAACAAAGTGAATTTGGGTTGGGCTTCATTTCCTGGAAATTTGAGCATCTTTCGGGAATATTGGTATTTTCTAGGTAAAGTTAGGCAGGATTTAGCTTAATATTAAGGGCTTAGCCATGACTAAACTTTAATGCAATTTGATGGAAGAAATAGGAGAAATGAAATTGGAGGGTGATAGGATGATTCGGGTTTGATGATGGATTAATCTCCATACCACTGTTAGTAAGTGATACTTTTAGGTTTCTTATTAAGGTTGCACTAAATAACAAGCAAGAAACTATCATTTTGCTAATAAAAGCTGCTATTGAACTCTTAAACATGGACTCGTGACAATTAATATCAAAGTAAATTCAAATCTTTGTTGATTTGAAATCTCGATAAGAGATATAAAAATTGAGATAAATCCGGATTACTGTAAAAGTTTTTTTTTTTTATGTAAAGAGTTAATGCAACTAAGACATTATATAATTGAATGGGGTAAAATTTCACAAATCTCTTATTAATAAAAGATACATTAGATTTGGAGTATATAAATATAGACTTTCCACATCCTATCATACATGTCTTTTGATTAGAAATACAAACCCATAACGATAGCACAGTTAGAAAACATGTAAGTTGTTTATACTAAAAAATTCTTACACTCAATAAATATTAAGTAAAAAGTATTCTCAATGAGCAGGGGCGGAGAGTCCTTTTGTCATGACACCTTCAAAATTTTTAAAATTTTTTATATATTATATTTTTTTTATAATTTTTTATTAAATAAATAATATAATTAAAAAATAAAATAACCTTACTAGCCCCATTTAATTTCACTCAAATTTTAAAAAATTTTTAATTTTTTAAGTTTCTCTACTCATATTTTTCTCTTTTCTTTTCTGTCCTTATATTGTGAAATTATAAAAAATTAAGTTTTTATTTAATTTTTATTTATATTATTATTATTTATATTTTTTCAATTCTATTCTATTTGTTCATATATTTTAAGTTTCTATAGATTTTCTTTTTTAAATTTCTACGAATTATCAACCATATTTTTTTTTGTTATATAATTTATATCTCCTACTTATCATTATATTTTTTTTCTGTTCCATGGATTTTATTTTTTATGATTTTAACTTTTAAAAATTAAAACATTATTGCATATGTAATTCTCAAATATAAGTTTTAGTGTTGCATTATTGGTTATTGTTTAAAATTTTACTAATATTATTTTTTATTAATCTTAATTATATAAGAAAAAAATATCTTGAGTATATGTTTTCAATATGCTTTACGTTTTAAATTTAGTTGAAAGAAAATTATCTTGAGTATAAGAAGAAATTATTAATTCTATATATCGTATTTAACTATTTATATTTTATGCATTATAGTTTAATATTTAGTATTATAAACTTAAATATAATAAAATAAGAATATTAAATGTTAACTATATTAATTTTTTTAGTCGTTTATATTGAGAAAGATAAGACTTCGAAACAAAATGAATGATAAATTTCTTATAAATAATTTAGTTGTTTATATTAAAAAAGATATTGCCATTGTTGAACAAAACTTTCCTACAAAAAACTTTCTTATAACACTATTATAAGTTTTTTTCTTTTTATTTTTTATTTATATGTTATATAAAATTATTATCTATTATAAATCTTTTAATTATTAATAGTTAAGTTCAATATATTAGTTTTCAAAATTTTTAACTTTTATTCTTCTTAGCCTTTAGCCTCTCAATAAAAATTGACTAACTCCGTCCCTGTCAATGAGTAGATTAAAAATTTAACTTTATATAAAATAAGAATATAACAAAAAATTAGTACGAATTCTTACTTTGGATAGCATAGAAAATAAAGAAGACAATGTGCATGTATTCCAAAAAAACCAACCTTCGTGCCTCTTTCCTTGTAGAAAGGATCAAGAATTGAAGGAGACTTGGGCATCTCATGTTCAAAGTGAGATCAAATTTTAAGTAAGCTATGCACTCAATTTTGGTTTTGCGTGATATATCCTAGGAGAGGTACATAAAATTGCCAAGGAAATTACGACTAATTTGGGTTTGCTTACTACAAAAGGAATTTACAAAGAAATTTAAATAAAAAAATTCTCATTTTTACAAAACACTTCAAAACAATTCTAAGTTTCAAATTTACCAAAACCAAATGGGATGTAAGCCAATTCACAAGTATCTTCAGCAATGTGAAAGAAACGTGTGTGAGAGACATCCAATTGATATTTGATCAATGTCAGAAATTTCACTTGAAAGAAATATTCAAGAAAATATCACTTTTTAGACTAATATTTGTAATTAATATTGAATTTATGATTATAGGCACTTAATTTATTATTATAATTTCTTACCATAATTTCTTTTTGAATTTATAATTAGCTAGATGAGTGTTAATCTGTATTTCTTCAATTCTCCATTTGGTTGCAAAAAGGCCAAAAACTTGCGGTGAAGAACGAAGATTGGAAAGCAAAGCAACTTTATTAGGTTCATTTGGGTGAAGTTGACATTGGTATCAACTCCCTAAGCTTCCCCTCTTGTTTTTCAAAGCAACAATTTGATATATGTACAAATTTAATAAGCTAGGAATATTGGTCATGGTTACTACTTCAGTCTTAATGTGATGGTCTATACCAACTTTTAAGATATTATTTATTTTGATCTTATGGACTCAAATATTTAATCTCACTCTAATACACATTTGATGTGGGGTTCATTATTTTCCTTTGGTGCCAGTTTAGTCTCAATCTAATTTGGGACCAGCCCAGTCTCACTCTGATACTCAATTGATGTGAGATTCATGACTTTCTTTTTAGACCATGACATCTTCCTCGATATAGGATTAATGGCTCTCTGCTTATTTGTATAAAGGTCTGGAGATAGGCTCTTGTTGGAGTGGGGAAAATGTAATGATCCTAATGGAGAGTTATTAATCGCATTTCGGAAAGAATGTCATAATTCTAGTAAAGAGCTATTAATCTCATACCGGGGAGGATGTGATGGACTATTAATCTAACATCAAAGAGGATGTTATGGTCCCAAACGAGAACCATAAATCCCATGGTGGCACAAGGGATTAATGGCTCCCCACTTATGTGTAAAGGTCTGGGGATAGGCTCTTGTTGGAGTGGGCGAAAATGTAACAAACCTAATGGAGAGTTATTAATCCCACATCGAAGAGAATGTCATAGTCCTAGCAAAGAGCTATTAATTTCACATTGGAGAGGATGTCATGGACCGAATAGAGAGCTATTAATCTTACATCAAGGAGGATGTCATGGTCCCAAAAAGGAACCATAAATCCCATGGTGACACATCATTCCTTAAAGCTCACTTTGATACCAATTGTGACAGTACAAACCAATTTGCAAGGTATGTTATAGCAAGTTATGTTAAAGATGATGTGAACCCTTAAATATCTAGTCTCACTCTAGCATATAATACATATGAGATTCATGACTCTTTCGGGGACCATTACATCCTCTATTGATGTGACTTTCATAATTCCCTGTTAGGACCATGACAACTTCCCGACGTGGGAC